TTCCTCGAGGAGTTTTACATTTGGAATCGATTGGTCTATCACGTTTCTGGCGTTTACCATAGACTATGTCTTTCAAGGACTATTTATTGAAGCATTTGCAGCTTAATTAAAATATTCGGTCAGCAAATACATCTGGCAACTTATTTGCAACATTTTGCAAATGAATTATCTCTTGAACTTCAAGTTCACATTTTTTTAACGAGGATCTAGATAATTTACCCCACACATAATTTTCAACTGCTAATCATATCTCCCCCTAATGTTAGAAAATCTAACATTTACCCCCAACCTCAGTTGGGGATCCATCTTTGTGTGTGGTGGAGCAATAAAATCATATGTGCACACATCAAATTTTTAGATGGAAATTATTTGGTTCCTAACCCTGAACCAATTGTGATGGGAGAACCTTGTTGGTTTGATGTGTACATGTTAAATAAACTCATTTCATACTAAATTTTATTTGAGAGATTTGTTCTCATAATCAATGGTCTGGCTATAATTGGAAGTATACAATTTCTGCTAAACCAACCAACATTAGCAACATAATTTTATAGCTTGAAATTGTGCTCTTAATTTAACAATTATATTCGAGCAAACAACCTTACAAAAACCAATTTGTAAGTTGATACAAATGCACATGTGACCATGCAATAGATGCATTTATTAAATCATGATAGTAAGCGGTCCACATGGCAGGTGAACGGGCCCATATTCACCTTTCTATATGTTTCAAATAACTTCAGGGGATACAATCCTAACCTTAGTTGATACATTTATCATTTTGTCATGAGAACAAGCAACAAAAGATAATCTTGAAGAATCTTTTATTTCTTCAAACATATAGCCACGTGAATTCTCAATTTCTTTTGCATCACATTTAAATTGAAATGGCCAACCGGTTATGTCAACTGATATTTATTCTAGTAAACTTCTAGTTTATTTTTGCATGTGATTCCTTCATCATGCCAATATTTTTATTCAACAAAAAAAAAGACGGTAACCTTTTATGTAAATATTCATAACTCACTTGATTGTAGTAATTTGAAGATATTAAATCTTTCAACAATTTACAGTCTCAATATAATAAAAAAAATTCAATTACTCCGAAACTTAAAAAGTTTCTTTTGAGACTTACTACAACCTCAATATAATGAATTATTTCATTTTCTGGATAGTAACAAATTAGTCCATCCGAAACTCTTAATTAATTTTATGTACTGCCACAAATTTCACAACACCATTCTTATGGTGACCATCTCCTTCAAGGAGAAAATTATTATTATTGTCATGGTTAAAATTATTACATGCAAGACTTATTTCTTGACAACCAGTGACAAATTTGTGTTGCCACACAACAACATTTATTTTGGTCATGACCACAACCTTTATAGAAAAGAATTATTTTTTTTATTTTGTGATCCAATAGTTAATGATAAAACATACCACAATATTTGTGTAGTACTCAAAATATATGACCAAATGACTATTTATGTCAAAATATATTTTTTTCAATATCTCAAACCTCTCGTAGAGGTGAGATGTGACATTTATCCAACCATACATGAACATGTCTTTATCCATACGAACACAAGTCACATTCTCTTCAAGAAATGACCATAATCATTTGTACATGCTCCATAAGTTTTTATTAGTCAGACTTTGACATTATCAAATTTATTTGACCTACCTAAACATCATTTTAAAAGTACTAATTATACTACCACTTTGTATTCCTTTATTTTGATGGAGGATTTATAAAACTTTTCAAATTGGGTTGCACCAACAACAATGTGCCAAATAACCTTTCATGTCACTTTGATGGATAAAAATTACTTTCACATTTGAAGGATCATCTTAAGAAACAATGTGCCCAATAACCTTTCATACCACTTTGATGGACAAAATTACCTTCACATTTGAAGGACCATCTTAAGAACCCATAATGTTCTTCATTTTAATTACCACAATGATGATCATTAACATTTTACCACACTCATATTCATACATTCAACCACTTGTCATTTTTCAGACATATTATGCACTGCTACCACATTCACATAAGAGAATGAAGCAAATTAATTGGGCAAATTTCATGACTTTCAGTCAAAAGTATACAATTTTATGTTAGTCATCATCATATCATCACTATAGTGCATTAGGACTTAAACTCAAAGTCTTACTCATATAAAGACGCCTTTGGTCATAAATCAATGGGACTTGAATCCAACTTCTTATTATCATGTTGCACCGAGACTTTACTCGATGTCTTACCACTTGGTGCGGTGAAACTTGAATTCACCGTCTTACCCTCAATCAATGTCTTAATAAACTAAATGCATTACCAAAAAATAAATATTGATTACCATAAATATAATCTCAATTTGACGTAAAATTGAATAAAAATGAACCAAACTAATTAATTAGAACAGCATGTTGGAACCATATAAAGGTCCCAACTTAAAATAAAGTAAAATATTTTAATAGTCCCTCTCAATATTGTTATGAAGATTATCATAATTTACTAACCATTTTAAAATAACCATAAAACAAGCTTTATTTATACAAATAATATATAGGATATGAAGTATACCTTGCAACCGAAGAATTACTAGGATAATTCATAAAAATCAAGAAATACCTACCATTGATTTTTGACGGAGAATGAGCAACTCGTGCTGATAATGTGTTGTAAAACTAAAGCAAAATAAGATAAGAAATATAAAAGATGAAAGCAATAGAAATAAGGAGACAAGAGATGAGAGTTTTTCTTATTATTCCAAGTCTTCAAGTGTTCACCAAATCTTCAAGTGTGTACAATATGAACCCTTATACCTCTATTTATACAAAAGTTAGTCATAAACATGACATTAAACATGAATAGAATGGAGGGGGTTATGGAGATGAAAGGTTACAAGAATAATGATCATAAAGGTGGAAGTTATCTTCAGAATGGAGGGAAGTAATGTAGTAACTTCTTGGTATAGTGGACATCCACACTATATAATTTTATAACACAATATAATAATATAACACATTATGTTAAAAGTGAAAAGAATTTAGGCAAAAATTAGATTATGATTTTACTCCTACATTAAATTTAAATGTTATAAATTATTTTATAAAATAAATATCTATTAATCAAAATATTTTAAAGTCTTTTCACCTCCTAAATTTATTGCAAGCTAATAATTAAAGCTAAAGAGTACTCTAAAGAAATTATAAATTGATTTAGGAAGTAAAACAATGATCACTTGTTAATTTATTTTTTGTCATATTAATATTGCTTAATGAATCAACCATAATAATATCTCTCTCTCTCTGTCTCTCTCTCTCTATATATATATATATATAATTCTATTTGTATTTTCTTAATTAATAAGGTATTTTTTCCATTACTTATAAGTTATAATATTCTAAAAGTCATCATATTTACTTCAATCATTCAACCTTTCATTACTTATGATGAGAAGACCAAAAGTCACTATCTTAATTATTCAAACCATTAATGATTTTAATAATGCTGAAAACAAGAATTCTATGAGTCACTACACCTATTAGTATAAATGTATATATCTGTCATGCTTCTTTTTTCCTTCCATAGATTTCTCATTTGCATATCAAATTTTTAGTTATTATTGAAGATTTTTATTTGTGCTTATGAGTTTGATGTTATATTTTTCTTTTTATGTTTGGTAATAATTATTATAAAATTAATTATTTTTTTTGCATGTTCATGTTTGAATGGAAGCAAGACTCATATGATTTCTAATCGTATTTGAGCTAATCATGACGATATTCAACATATGTTCAGTTTATTTTTTATTTTTCTTGCATAATGGATATATATACAAAAAAAGTCGAATAATATATATACTATTTAAATTTATTATTTGCAATATAAACATTGTATCAATTACTTTGAGTTAAACGTGCAATCACGTTTCCAAAAACTAGTAGTCTGTGTATGCGGCAAAGTGCAGAATTGAAGAATATGAATTTGAAGGAAATATTCACATGCCACGTGTCAAGTTCCGAAGACACACACATTGTTGAGACGGTACAATGCAATACAGAAATTCAATTCCTTTTGGTTTTGAATTTTCTAATTTGTTTTGGACTCAATTATTTTATTTAGGATTTTCTAGATCTATAAATAGTCCATAATAATAATTCTAGGGTTCTTTTCTTCTTCGTTTCTTAGACATCAGTAGCTAAAGACCCTTGTTCTGGACTATAGCTATGAATGATTTTTGAACATCGATTTTATAGATTAATTTGGTTATCGTTCAAATTATTTTTGTATTCTTGATTTAGCATTTTGATGCTAGGCCACCATTAGAATAAATTCATTGTCTATTCTTGAACTTGAGAGACGAATAGGTAGATAGACAAGAAAATACAAGAAGTGCGATCTTTCTTGCATTCCACTTGTTTAGATTTCTGTTTAGGATTGACACCTAGACGAATACAATACTTGATTTCGAAACAAGATGAAAAATAAATGTTCAACAATTGAGTTTGTCTATCCACGCTCGACGATGTAATTAGACGGTCAACTGGGGTAGGTAGTTAGAGGTCGAGAGATCATGATCATAATATCAACCCTGTAAATCAGTAATTTGATAACCCTAGGAAATCCATGAAAGAGATGTGATACGTGGATTCTTAGTATGCTGCAAACCTGGAATTTCCCCAATCATTGTAAGTTAATTTTATTATTTAATTCTTGCATTGTTAGTTTACAAATAAAACACAAACTCTTTTGTCACACTTGAATTAATAATTAGAGATAAGTGTAATTCATTAAACTAGTTAATCGGCAAGTCCTTTGGATTCGATAATTTAACTCTTTTAGAGCCATTATATTACTTGCGTGACCACAAACACTTGTGTGTGAATTTGGAAGCAACAACAACCAATAAACTCATACCTTGAATTTGTAATCTTGCGCCATTCTTCTTAGCAAATAAGTATAAATAGTGCACATTGTTTGTCAAGAATTACATAACAATTTACAGCTTACATCCTGTTGGAATAGGTAATTGAGAAAGCATTATTTGGGAGATAATCAAAACAAATGCTAAACCTAGTTATGTCTCATCTCATCAAGTTTAATTTGTTTGAAAAGTATAGTATATCATAACACAATTCAAAACGTCATCTCCATGATAACACGTGTGAGTCTAATATATTTTCAGTAGATAATCTAAAATCTCAAGCCCTATGAACACTTCCCTTAGGTATGGTGATAATCAGCAAAGAATTGAACAAGTGTTTATAAATTAAATTACAGTAGTTCAGTTTCAAGTATTTGCTTCCAAAATTGCCTGCACAAACACAAGGACCATCAGATGAATAATAAGTTGAACTTATTAGTAAAGAAAATTACAATGTACCTTGTTTAATGATTGTTTCTATCCAAGATACTTCAGTAAGACACCATCATTCCCCAGGACAAACCCCTGGTTATCATTGATAAACCTGCATCACAAAGATTGACTCAGAGTAAATCAGACCTTTCTCCTCAAATTTCATTGTGCCGTCTAACTTTGTTTTCATGTGAAATCAAATTATAGGAAACCAAGGCTGATGATATTATAATACAAAGTGGGAAAGTATGGAGCTATCTTTAGTAGTTTACTCACAGTTTCCTCATTATAGACAGCAAACTAAGTATACCAGCAAGCTTAAAGAATGAAGGTTGGCATATATGGTTTAGAGATGAATGGAAAATTACGAGGACCTAGAAGAAAGGAGGAGGAAGGGGCAGAATTCAAGATGCTAGAAGAGAGTAGACAGTTCAAACTTGAGACTTTAAGTTGAATGTGAAAAAAGTTACAAATTAAGTAGATAAAATCTTGAAGCTGCGCATTGGAGCTTACTTCACTGAATAAAGATTTGCAGCAATATTATCAGCCGCTTTGTCACGAATCCATGTCTTTCCACCATTGGTGGTCTTCAACAAAATCCCACTCCCACCAGCAGCCCAGGCCTCATCCTGAATAGCAAACATATTTGCATTGTCCAATACATTAACAACAGAAAAATGATCAAATATAAAATGTAGGAACTAATTTTAAAACATCAAGTTTTATTATTTACAAAAAGACCCTATTTTCCCCACTCCTCCCCCTACCCACCCCTTCTACCGCCGCGGCCATCACCACCACCGTCTCCTCTGCTACTACAGCCACCTCCTCCTCTACCACCAAAGTTTGGGAAGAAAGGAAAAGATTAGTTTTTAATACTATGCACCCCAAAGTTTTTAATTAATTTAATCAGGTAATGGTATTTGACCAAGTCAATGTCACCAATTTTAATTTCAAAACTAGAAAGACCCCTTCTATTCATTTTTCTCACGTTAGATAGTGCTTAAAGTTAAAACTTTATTTATGCATATTTTCGATACCCATACATATTTTACACATCAAGACTAACTTAGATTTTGGAACAAAAGTATGCTGACTGAGATACAGTGATATACAGTCATTCCGTGGATAACAACATTTCTTAAAAAGATAGTTCAGCTCAAGTAAGTGAGCAAATCATACTGACTAACAGCGTCGTGCTCCACAACCCTTCCCCAAACGAACAGGAGAAAATAATAAAATTGGTGATTCAAGATATTTCACGGAAATGGTGCTTTTGGGGCATTTAAATGTGAGCATCATTAAGCAATACATCAGTTTTCACCCAAACTCACTCATGTAGTACACAATGTTTTATTTAAGGCAACTATGCACATACCTGTGAGCGGTAGCCAACATCAAGAATGCCAAAACCACGACTTTGTACTGAAACTTCTTCAAAGTCCTCTGTTAACTGCAGATCAAGGACAACATTGAGCTTCATTATAAAAACACAAGAAGAAATCAGAATAGCTACGGATAGCAAAAGCTCATACTATAGAACCAAGTCAAAGGACCAAAACCTGGTCCACTCCATTCTCTGCCATTATAAGACTTTGAGCCCTAGTATTCATTCAACCCATTAGGCTACTTAATTGCTTATCAAGCCAGCATTTTAAATATAGCCTCAAGAAAGTCTATCCAGTCAACCTCAGGTCATGTGCCCAGGGTCATTGATATATGATATACTCTCATTAATAAATAGAAGAAATGTAGTACCTTAAGTGAAGGTAGTTAGTTGTATGTATCTTAAACCCGCTGTAGTCTGCTAACGCGTACCAGCTTCGTGTCATTGGGTTTTAAAATTTTACAAATTTACTAAAACCGTCTCCATCTTGAGTATGAATAACACTTGAAATCTTTACAAGGTACATATTAAACTGTGGTAAGAACGGTTGAAAGAATCAAAAATCCTAGTACCCAATATATGTAGATGAGCCAAAATGTCTCCCGTCATGAGATGGTTATCGATAGCTAAATTCGCTTAACTAAGATACTTGACCAGCCTTGTCAAAATGCAGTTAATCTGTGATTTTTGATAAGGATGTTATTAACTCCGGAGTCCTGCTCCAAGCAATTAGCTCAATGGAGATAACATGACAAGTTTTCTATATGTGGAAAAGGAATAGCTTGCCCTACTATCTGTACAGGTCCTCTAAATAGAGGTTACACGTTACATTCATGTTGACTTGGCAATACCTTCCAAGTAATTTACTAAAAAAGAACAAGAAAAATTTACAATCAAGGATCATTCATGGTAGTGACAGATAATGGGTTTCTTTCATTATTTTAAATGAGAATTGAAATTGGAACATTTAGGTAATGCACAATATTTAATACCAAAGTAAACTTATGAGAAATCAGAAGATCCTAAATATAGTCACTTTACAGAGATTCAACATTGCATCTTTAGATAAGATTCTACCTAAGGAAGTTGATTTCTTCAACTGAGATGTCAATGCAATTGAGCAGGCAAACAAATGTGTAAAGGATAGTAGGATATATTATATTTCATCTTATCCCAATTTATTTCATGCTAGTTTGATTTACATTATTACATACTACTTTCTTTTCTTTTCTTCTAGTTAATGCTACTATGTTCTTGTATTGCCAGACAGTCTGTAGCAGTTGAAAGTATGATCATAATTTACTAACCCCTGTGCCCTTGCTAAGGTATAGCCCTCCACCACGCACAAGTAGCCAAAGACCACCATCAGCCCTCCAGCCCATGCTTTGGATTCTTCTAGCCACGGCTCTGTTATGTGGTTGCCAGTATGCCTGTAATGTATTATGCATAAAACTACATGTATAAATATACAATTCTAAGTTTTGAAGTAAAAAGGGAAGAAATTTAAGCGTAACAGTTTATGCTACATAAGGCAATGAACTTCTTAATTAACACGAACATGAAAAAAGTACGTGTTAAAGAAATAATACCTGCCCTGGCTCCCAGGTCAGGTAGAAGTTGCCACGGCTTGAAACTGCTACATAACGTCCATCAGGAGAGCGATTAACAGTACTGAAAGTTCCTGTATAGTAACTGGCACCACTAATGCCACTAGAAACTGTTCTGCAATTTCATTAAGGATGGCTGTCATTCTCCATATAAAGAAGAAACAAAAATAAGCTTGGCAAGTAATGAATCATGAACCCCCAGAAGATCTTAACAACTTTTAGCCATCACCTATGACCTAAGACAGCATCAAAATTGATAAGGTACTTAAGCCAAAAGCATAAATCTTTGTCGCAAAAGGTAGGGTTTAACTCGTCAAAAACAATTTAGCTAGCATCATCTTGTTTAGCAAACTGTCGGTAGCTAAAAGCACAACCAGTAGACTATCGGTAGTTAGCAATTCTCCTGATAAGTAGAAACCAGAACTTGAGAGTAGAGCATATTCAATGATTCAAGAGAGACCCGGATAATAGGTTTAACCAAGTACATATTACCCTAAAGAAGAGTGGAAAACCCGCCTTTCAGTTACTAAGTTTTTGCATTTTCTTTTCCTTTTCATTAATGAAACTCAAACCAAAATATATCTGTGCATTGAGTTTCTCTCATTTCATTGTAGAAGTAGCACACCAACCTCAAATCAAGATTTGACACTTCTGAAGTACACCTTCTCAGAGATTACCTATTAAGGGTAGCAGAGACAGTTTCTTGAATAGCAGCTTTCCAGTTGTATCCCTTGTTTGATGTAATATATATTGCACCTTCATCAGTTACCATTTCTGCACTTTGTTCTCCAGTTGCCTTGATATAAACCTGTATATCAAAATGATTTTCTTTCCTTATGATTAGTAGCAAGAACAAATAGAAGAAAGGTAGTCAGATTGTGTGCCTTGGTATGTAGGTAGAGTTAATTGCCATTATTGAAACAAAGGTATAGATGAACAAGAATCAATTACCAAAAAACAAAAGGGGTCAGAGGAACAAGACTGCCGCACAATTAACATAACATGAAGACCAATACACATTGATATATCGGCAATCAACATAACATGAAGACCAACACACATTGATATATTCTCTTCTTTTAGCTCAATGTCAAATTAACATTAGTAGAAAGTGGAGATTTCACTGCAATCACTATTGATCATAGTGGCTATCTTTCTTAACACCTAATGTCTCAGATCCTAAAAGGCAAGCTTTTATATTTTATTGGGAGTTGCAGCTAGCAATGCCGTTCTTAGACTTGTATTTCCCCATTATTTCATCTATTGTTGGAACACGGCATTGATTGTCTGACCGCTTAATATCCCCATAAACAGCCATCTCAATCTTGTCAAGGTCATTGTCGCTGAAGTTGATGTCACAAGAATATCCTTTCAAATGTCTTGTGTCAACTGCAACCTTGTCTGCTTTAGATCTATTAACCCTTGTTTGAAGAATTTGACAATTATCTGACACTGAATCACCACCTTTAGAGAAGGGAACAATGTGATCATACTCAAAGCAGAGGCAACCTTGGCAGCTGTGGAATCGCTTGCCAATAATGTTGCCAGCTGCATCTTTTCTCCACCTCTCGGGATCTCGACCTGGAACCTTCTCTGCTTTGGACCAGCATTTCTTTCTAGCCTCCGAGTCAAAACTTCTAGGCCTTCCATCACTGTTTCCGCTTGTAAAACCACTGTTATTCACGCTGAGCTGATGCAAAATTGAAGGTTATCTCTTTCTTGCTTCTTCACTTTCATTCTCCCAGCCCAAGGGAAGGAAGTTGAGAGGAAGAAATGATAGTTCTCTACTTTGATGGAAAACAAGCAAGTTTAAAATGAATCCATTTTTTTGATGTATTAATTCAATTTTACAACCTTGTTATGTATTCCAATAAATTCTTAACTAAAACAACAGATTATGAGATCAGTGTGGAGGATATTTACATAAGCAATTAAGAATGTCTTCAGTGGCATGTTACAATTTTGAAGGTAAAAGTGAGAAAGGAACTGTTCTAGTTTTTTGAAATTTCTACAGAATCATTTACAAGAAAAACTATAGATATTGAAAAGTTACATCAACACCTGCCCTTTCTAAATCCAGCATGTTTTGGCATACAGTGACCTTGGAACAAAGCATCATACCTCAGTTTTGGTATTGTCTTTCAAGGAAATTGTTCAAAATATGCTTGAGATCTTACCAAACAGTATTTTCAAGAAACAGTTAGTTGTTATGAAGCAAAGTGATAGTATTTTGTTACAGTTGAAGTGCTAGCAAGGAGTTCTTGAGAAACGTGCAGAGGAAGGGGTGGGGGAGGAGGGAGGGAAAAAATTTCATCTAAAATTAAAGGATACATAGTGAAGATGAATGCATATCGTCACTACATATTGACAATATGCCTCTAATTTTAATTCATCCCGACGCAGTAGCACGATCTATATAGTGAAGATGAATGCATATCGTATACATTAAACTTGCTAAGCAATGAAGCAATCAGATGCCAAAGAGGCAGCAGCACGATCTGATTAAAACAAAACACCCATTGAGCACGTCTCACATATCTTTTCACACTAGCAGGATCACTATAACTGAAGCCGTTGAGTTCACCACCGTAGAACTCAACAGTTACATCTACTTATTCATCACTATACTTAGATTCTTCCCTTTCAAAAGAAGCATCGTCTCTAAGGATTCTATCGCCACCTACCAAAACGACTGGAAATGTTTCAAAAGAAAAAAAAGTAGATATACAACGTGCAAAAAGTTCATGCCCTTCTTTATTCATGCCCGGAAATCTTTGACTTTTTGTAACCTGCTTGCATTATTAGATCAAGTTTACATCCTGCAATGTAGTTATTTCTTGACTGAGCATATGCGAGTTACTACATGAAAGATAACGGTGAATGTCAACAACTCCAAATGGCTTGTAATGGTCAGATATGCTACCACAAATAATCCTTACTCCCCATGCTTTACATAGAAGAGTATGGATGAAAAATACGGTCATTGGACAATATTTATACGAAAAATTTGTGCAAAACAAAAATAGATAGCCATACTTTGTGTAAAGGTTTCTCGAGTGTTCCCAAAAAGTTCTTTTAGAAATTGTGCCTCAAGAAAGATTTCAACCAATGTTTGTAAGAAAGAATTTTTTGAGAAAAACCTTAACCAACCACATTTAATAGAAAAACTATTCACAAACATCAAAATATTATTACGAAGCACTAAAGCATATGTGCACAGTGACTCATTCCAAGCAAAGTTTTCTACTAAGGTTTTAAACATCTGAGTTATCAATTTACCCAGAAAGTATAATGGGCTGTAACACACATGCTCAAATTTTGAATAAGTACCGAGAAGATTTGAAAAATATTATGCTTACCATGTCACCAGGAAGTTGAGAACTCAAAGGTATCCGCTCCCAGTTTTCACCAGCATCGGAAGTATGCAACAAGATTGCTGGTTTTCCAATAATCCACCCTTCCTTGCCTTTAAAACTGATAGAATTAAACCTATAATTGAAATCTTCCTCTTCGGCAGAGGCTATGGATCTTGGTACCCAAGTGGTTCCTCCATCCTTTGTTTCCAAAATAGTTTGCCTAGTCCCCAGAACAAAACCTGCCAGCCATTGTTCCACCAATAAGCACAAATCTTAAACTCAATGTGTAAAACACACGGCTGTGCAGTAAACAAATATCTTCAAAGGACGATTTCCCGTGATTATTCAACTAAATTAAGAAAATATCCTTAAATATAAAAGCACAAAACAGCGAGGTTGTGCTTGATGATATCTTATCACTTTTAACCAAATTAAGTACAAACCTCGAACTCAATGCACAGCACCATCAACCTATCAATAATGCTTACTATATTAGATGATTTGAGTTTCAAAAAAAATATATATTAGCTGATTTGTCATTATTGTTTGTCTGGATTAGTACAATTCTTAAACATTGCGCGCATTAGATCCCAAGGCTGTTGGATATTCTTCTATCTTCAAAGCGATGATTTAAACTTCAGCATTTCTTCTACCCTAAGAAGAACTACTTAAACTCCCCCAATCAGTTAGCTAAATTGAGAACAATTCTTTAACAATTTCCACAGCATTCTAGAGCTTTGAGCATACTTAGGTCACAATTAATCCAATTTTTAAAGAAGATCTCTTATCCGGTTGTTGTTCTAAAATACAATGAAGTAGCACATATTTATCTTGAAAGATGAATATTTCAGCCCATCATTCAAATTTGAGTAGCACTTTTAAAGCTGAATTCTCCAAATTACAAACAAAGACTGTGAACAGACTATAGACAGTTAAAACATACAATTTTTCCCAAAAGACCTCAGATTTTTAAGAGTATTTCAACACGTTATATGAAGTTTCTTTGTTATCAACTTTTCCCACATCCAAATTTTATATCCAATTATTTGCATTTTGAGGTTTCGTCCATACAGCAAGTATATAGCAAAGAAAATCTAATTAGTTTCCCACCCACATACATAACATACCGTGATTGGGGTCGTCTGGAACGAAAGCAATGTCTAGAAGGACGACACCAGGGTTAATAGGAAGAAAAACTCTTTCCCATTCAGAGAGAGGAGTCTCTTCAGCTTTGGCAACAGGGATAGGAGAGAGGCTAACTCCTAGTAATGGAGGGAGGGCAATGGCAGCAGCAGTCTCAGCAATCAACTGTCTGCGGTTAATATTAGCTGCTCTGCATAAAGGCAACCGAGGTGGAAAGTTGTGGGGAAGAAGAGGGCGGGGAGTGGTAGTTAGAGGCTTGAGAGGAGTGAAAATGGAGTGAGCCATTCTATTTGTTGGTGCAACACTTTCCATACTCTTTTGATCTTATCACAATGGGAAATTGCCTTTCGCGGGATGTTTCAAGCGTAAGTTAGATGGGAATACGAGTGGTCATAAATTCGTTATCTAAGGACCCACATTTCTCCTCAACAACGTTATCCTATATTTACTATTTACAATCATAAACAACTCGGGATGTAGCTCAGATGGTAGAGCGCATGCGAGAGGTACGGGGATGGATCGATACCCCGCATCTCCATTCTCATTTTTTCTGTCCTTTGTACTATTTTTTGTTTTATGTAGAATTTTAATACATTTTTAAAAAAATACCTCAATTTCTAGAAACAAACAAAATCATCCAGCTTTTAAAATAAATAAATTTATATTTTAAAAGAGTAATATTTCAATATAAATGTCATATATTATATCTCATATACGAGCTACTACATATTAGTATAAATATTTTTTTCACTTTATTTTGAATTTTTGATATTAGAGTTGTGTTTGATTATAATTTTTGCAAATAATATTTGGTTGTTTGAATGTGATAATTTTCTTTAAAATACATGAAATATGATTTAAACATGAAATATAATTTAAATTATGTCATTTTTATAAATATAAATAATTTAAGGTACAATTTGAAAATGAAAGATACAGTGAAAAAATAACTTTTTTTGAAAAAACAGAATTTTGGATAAGGAGAAATTACACTTATTTTCAAAATTAAAAATATTCAATAAAAGTAAAAATTCTCATGATCAGTCGAGTTCTTAAACACACTTGTACACTAATAATTGCATGTGGAAAATTCTAAATTTTATCACGTCACGATAGACAATTCAATATGTTATCACTTCATGTAGACATTTACACTTTATAATTAAAAAAAATGTAACTCATTTAGATGTTTAATCAATAATTTATGTGAAGAAATAAACTTAATATAAATATATATATTCTGGAAAAAATTGTTATTATAAATAATAAAATTAAAAGAATTATAATTATAAATAACTTTTACATTATCATATTATCTGTTGTAACATATTTAATTTTCATGATTTAAAACTTCATACTATAAGGAGGCTTACTTTGCTGGCTAGGGGGAAAGTGATCAAATTTGGGTATGAGACCAAATGGGTGAAATTTAGGTATGAAAAGTTGTCTTATGTCTGCTAATATTCGGGGTGTTTGGGGATAATGAAAAATAGTTGTGTTATATGATCGATAATGTAGTCCTATACACTCCTTTTCTTTCACGGTGAAAATTTATCTTTGCTTTTTGCTTGGAGAATTAGGCCTAGCAGAACCTCGTTAAATCTTTGTGTTATTTTTTCTCTCTATTTTCTTTATTTATGATTGTGTGCTAGTTAATCCACAATATTTCCACAACATAATCGTCGTTGGAGTTTCTTCTGAGCTGCGATCATAATAATTGTATTATACTGCTTATTTTTTAGATTTATCGTGTGCGTGCGTATAACAAAGAAATGCGAGCTAATTCTCCATAAAACTACATCTTAATTAGAATTATCAAAAATTGAAAGACATTCCCAATTTAGTATATCCTAAGCAAGATCTAGCAAGGTAGGTGATCTTAACAATGAGGTAACGTGATCGGAGAGTGCTTTCAGGGCAACATCAACAACATCCTTAAATCCATATGAAGTAGAATTAGGGTGTGCATAGGTGAACGTTGGGATCAATTCTATGACAGTCCTCCTCTTTCTTTCTACCTCATCCATTGGAATTTTGAGAAGCTCCTCCTCAATTCTTATGCTATGATTTCGTTCTAAATCAATGTAAACGGAATATGTGGTAGGATCAGAAGGTAAAAACCATTTGTATTGTGAATACGCGGTGTGATTTGAGAAGAAAACTGGGATACATCCAGCTAGCATGGAATCAAAGGTAGAACGTCGAGTATATGAATCACCTAAGACTTGCAAGCAAAAATTAGATCTCATCATCACTTTAACAACTTCTCTCGGGTTGTGACATTTACTTGGTCCATGTCCACATTTCAAAATCAAACACTTACTTGACTCCTCACACTGTTTTATGACTTTGTCTCTCGTCACAACTTTTTTCTTTCCTGTCCGCGGAGCCCCAACAAATGAAAATAAATGAATCCTATCTATATAACTCATATTATTCTGCCATTCAACCATCTCTGACGAGGTTGATGGATGGAAATACGAGGGGTAAGGAATTCCATATTGATTATGTCCTTCCCAAGGATGTCTTTCAACAAGAAGTACTGACATATTCTTCACAGGGGACATGTTCAACAACTTGTTGGCACCGAAATCGGGAACTTCATCACTCCTCATGAAATCCCAAGCAGTTCTTCCAAAAGCCATGAAATGGTCTTTACCACTATTCCTCTTCCACCACTTTTGCTCTTGTATATACTCCACCAATTCGACAGCCAATGCATCACGGGTGGTATAATTTGGCTCGCGAAACTTGCTCGAGGCATGGAGGCCCCCATAAAAAGGAACATAAAACAGAGTTGATTTATGTGCATCCTCTGTACGACAAGGATGATTCTGGATTCGAGCATGAATGATCAATTCAGCGATGAGTTGATGAGTGGTAAACCAGCTAGAACCCATTTGAGGGAGTGGACTTCCGAGACCATTATTTGTAACATGAGGGCACATATCTGTGTAGATATTCAAACTAGTACAATCTCTCAAGAGATCAAAATTGTACTTGGATGGAAGATTGTATATGTAGACGGAGAAATTGTCTTTGCATTCTGCTGGAGGAGTTGAGAGGAATACTCGGATTGGATTTGATACTCTTTTGGGCGAAAATACTAAGAGGAAAAGAAACCAAATCATGAAGGAAGTTGTGAAAAGTACGATGACTTTCAAATGGAGTTGAATATCTTTTAGAGATGTGACAACTAGTTTCTTTCCTAATGCGTATTCTTCATCTTTCTTCTTTCTAATAGATTTCAGATGATTTTTTCTCCACATGATGAAGAAACGGATAGAGGGAACGACTAAGAAATAATATAGTAGAAAGACAAGTGATCATGAGGAAAAATGATATATATAGAGTGTTTAATTGAAAGGAATGATATACTTTGGAATTGTTAATTTTAATACAATGAATTCATTGAATGTATCCATAAAATAGTCGTTCTAAATTATTTTAATAAGATAAGATTGGCAATGATGGTAACATACTTGTTCATAGTAAGTGTCATATGCATTCACCTGATATATCTATGATTCAATGTTTGGTCACAGATCGAACGAATAAAATGGGTCATTAATTAGGTTCATTGGAGTGATATTATTTCCAAAGCACACTTGTAGAATATTGTTCTATTATAAAATGTAATGTATACTGTAAAAACATTATTATTATTAAGTTATATTCAGTATTCGGTTAGAATATTTTGCATTATGCTAAGAACGAGCATAATGGGTAATTAATTAGGTTCATGAGAGTGATAATATTGCCTTATTCAATAATCTAATCTAATCTATATATACATTATGAAATTATATCTATGGTTCATATTTGGTCAGGGATCTTGGCATTATGTTAAGAACAAACACAATGGGTCATTAATTAGGTTCATTGGAGTGCTATCATTTTCTTTGGTATACTTGTAGGATATTTTTCTATGTTGAAATCTAGGGATAATTTTACAAACCTCTCTCTAGTTTTAACTTCATTACCTTAATTGTTCTTGTGGTTTATGATATTAGAATTCTTTAAACCTGTTTATAACTCCATTACTATATATATATATATATATATAAATATTAGTTTTTCTTTTTAAATATTAGTTTCTTCCAATTAATTATTATATTAAAAGATGTCATTAATGGGTCGTTTGGTAGAGTGTATTAGAAAAATTAATGCATGCATTAACTTTGTGTATTAGAAATACCTTGTTTGGTGCACTTTCTAGGTATTAATTAGTAAAGCAAAGGGATTTAATGCATGCATTACCATTTTAAAGACACAATTACCTCTCAAAACTCCTTTTACATCTTTTTTCACTATAATTGTGGAGGATATTTTTGTAAATAAATATTTTGGTACAATGCTTACTATTTTTAATACATCAAACCAAACAATGCATAAGAAATAATCTATAGATAACTAATGCAAGCATAACTAATACAAACATTGCTAATACACTCTATAAATCATTATTTTTATACACTCTACCAAACGACCCGATGGTTTTTCATAGAGCATGTCAATGCGACTCATTCATTTGCAACCTCTGCTCGCCATAGAGGTTCACTTCTATAGGGATGCTTATCGGATGGATGATTATGCTTAACAGTTTGACTTATCAAATATCATTTTTTAAATATATTAACCATCTAGCCAATCAATAAGATATTTTGGGTACATTATCGAATTGGTAATTATTGAGCGGTGTATTAACTCAATCATTTCATGCTCCCTTCTTTCATTTTCATTCACCAATATATTAGTCTCCCATCAAATAAACTATTTTTTTCTATCTCTACTTAAGATGGTAATTCTATAGTTGTAAATTGCAATGAGAAATACATGAAAGCCTTAAGTATTGAGTATGTATGAACATTAGTATTTATTTAACAAATATTCACTTGTACAACAACTTAATATCTCATTAACAAAATACACTTCAAATTAACATTTTTATATACAAGAAGTGAAGACTCGTCCATTATGATCTAGACTAGCTAGCTAGTAGACCAGTAAGAAGTTCAACTCAAGAAATATGTATCAAGTTGTAATGACCCTCCAGGTCATTTTTGTGTTTTTGCATACTTTTACTGTTTTACCCCTTTTTGTAGCTTTTTTGTAGTTTATGTATGGTGTTGGCTTGGGTGGAATGCTTCCCAAGGTGGTCGGGTGAATTTTGAGTTGATTTTACCCTTTTGGAGGCCTAAAAAGTGAAAGCATTGATTTTAGTCAACATCCAGAGAATCTGAGGTAGGATGAGGATTCTATCAATTCTATCAACTCCAAAAGAGTCATTTTGTTCTAGTGGGATGGTTGATTTGGGTTTGGAGGCTGTCATTCTAAGTTTTTACTGTTAGGCATTTTA